AGTTGATCAGTTAAACTTGTTATTTTTGTAACCTACTATTTGTTTGGTTTAAATATTTTTTTTATAAACAAATTTTATCGTAAATATTATTTTGTTGTCGTGTTGTATTATATAAAAAAAATATTGAGTTAGTAACAATAAACAGTTGTCTTTCCTTAAAACATTGTAAAAGATAAGTGGTCTTTTTATCTCCCTCGTATTAATACATTTCAACTATTCTGTTCCTAAACAGCATCATAGTCTTTTGAATAATTTATTTTATACTAATCTTTTAATTCTCTGATCTTATTTACTTATTATAATTTTCTTTAAAAAAATAATAATAATAATTCCGCGCCAATTATTAGTTTTAACTATTACTTTTAATAATTTAAATTGAATTGTCATACATTAATATTACAAGGGACGAATCGTTTTCAAAGTTTATTATTACTAACATATTTAGAAGGGTTTTTACTAGCCAAATATTATTCATCACTTATTATAACTACAACACGTGTTTTATTATAATGTTGAATATGAAATTGGCTTTGTTACAATGAAAAAGGAATATGTTAGACGTACGGTGTTATAATACAGAGCTTTAAAACATCGTATCAGCGTCAATTTGTGGTTCGGTTTTTTTGGAAAATAGGATATTCCTTTATGTCGTAAGTTTAATCAGTATAAAAGCGTATGTATAACTTAAATAATTAAATTAATTTTAGGTATGATTAATTTTTTTCTATTTATTAATGATTGCTAGTTAATTAGATAAATCATGTTAAGCGTATTAAAAGATTTTAAATCAAATCTGCGATTGCTGATGTTTCAAAAAGTTCTTTGCAAAGAAAAAGTAAACTATTTTTCACTGAATATTTTCTCAAGTTGTTTCCATATATTTTAGTGCCTAAAACAACTTTTAATGTGTTTTTCTTTGAATTATTTGACAAATAAATATTTTTTTTAGTTTTTACGCGCCGGGTTTTAGTAGGTTTCCCGGAACTGTTTCCCTACAAGAAACTTATAAGTAGTTGGAATATTTAATTTTGCTCGTATAGTTAAATATTTTTACCTAATACAACAAAATTGGTATGTGCTGGCATATTTTAAAAACACAACAGTATTAGGGATTCATCACTGTAAGAAAAAAACACAGAAGTTTTAGAGATTCATCACTGTACAAATTTTAAAAACTGTAAAGATGAGAATTGTGTATCTAGTTTTTACGGAAATTAGAATTTTCTCCTGAAACAGCTGTGCCTTCTGTATCAGTTGTAATGATCCGTGTCCTATCTTATTGTCTAGGGACTGTCGGGGTTTCACGGGTTTTTATTCGGATTACCACCAATTTACCGCCAAAGAAACAGCTAAACAAGACTACTTAGCTGTACTGTTTTTTGGGAGGAATCGATCTAATAGTTTATAGAGAAAGCGACCAGACAAAAACGCGTAATAAATATCATATAATATAGTTGTATGATCTTAAGTTCATATGATTTACTTTTGTTAAGGTTTGTCGAAAGGAAAGCAACCAAAGTGTCCCTACGTGTTATATTGTTATTTTAATTGCTTGAGGAAAATTAATATAAAATGTTTTAAAAAGTTTTAAATACGCAATCAAAATAATATTAAATCAAATATAGAACAGACAAATATTCCTGAATACGATTTTATATATTATGAAACGTATAGTAAAGTTTAACGATATTTTGATAAAGGTTTTGTTAATTTCTGAAATATATAGAATCATTATGATGAAATATGATAAGTTTTACAACCATTTATAAATTAGAGCGTTTGTTATAAGAATTCAAGAGAAAATGGGATTCCAGGCTGCTTTAGTTACACAAATAATTCGGTTTTGTTTCACAGTTTGATTTATTTACACGATTACCTTTTTTTAAAAGAGTAATTATTGCAAATTTTGACACATAGATAATTTATTTATTAGTTAGTCTGATGTACCACATTACGATAATTGGTGTTATTTTAGATGTATTTGGGGCTTTGTCCCTACAAGCCACTAGTATTATTAAGTATATTGCAGTAGAGGCAACGTTTAAAATTTTGATTGATAACATGAAAAGAAATACAATTTAAAATTAAAATATCACCAATATTTGCATAAATGTATTTACATTAGTACATGTAATATTTGTGATTAGTTAAACATAAAGTGGATTTTTATAAGACATTTTTACACTACTTTAAATATAATATTCTTGTACCTTATTGAGCATTCTAGAAATTATAAATAGGCTATACGGGCAATTCTAGAACATTTCGAAGATATAACTTCAATTTATATTATCTAGTAAGGTTAAAAATACTATGGAAAGTGAATTATATTTTGTGATTTTAGTCCCAATGTCTCAAAGAATTATCTTATGTATAAAAATCTGCAAATATGGATAAAAATATTTTTACCAAAGGTATAATAACCTAATTTACGACAGAATGATTCCATTTATTTTGTAAATTATAGTAAATCGTAACAAACCCTTTTACTATTGATAGAGTTTGACACTCCCGTGTAAAAAGTTGTAGCCACAACTTGTAAGGCTTATAGGCCTACAATAACAATGTACGTTGATATAAATAATTATGATTGCTGACGGTAACGGCAAATTTATAACCACGCCAAACTGAAGGAACACCTCACTGTTGAGATAAGCCAATAAGTAATTTATTAAATCAGATTCAAATAAATCCATTGCCTCCGCCTTCTGAGAATAGCTTGTTCAAAAAATATTTTATTTATTCTGTTCCGCCAAAGAACATCTGATCCTTATTTAGAGGATGTTTACTTTCGCATCCAAAATTCAAAGGTGCTACCATGTGCTGCCTAAACTTAAAGAATTGCTACAGCTGATCAACCCTGGTATATAAGAGTCAATATCAAATTATAAAAATAAACCTCCAACAGATATTTCTCAATAAACAACCGGCCATCGTTTATTTCCATTATATAGAGTGTTTTTTGCCTACCCCAGGACCCCAGCCTACAACAATCATGTAAATTAGCCTAAGGTGAGAGTATTAGGCGGGCTGCGTATTAACCGACCAATTACCAACAGCTGCGCTCTACCATTTGTTTTGGCCTTTCCTGAATTAAATTAACCGTAATTATTGGTGGGTTTTTTTGTGAAACAACCTCGGTTGAAAGAGGTATTGCTATCTCGTATGAAACGTGTAATTCAGAGAAGATTTGGTTATGTTTGTAATAGTTTTAGGCCGTACCCGACTTGTTAGAATGCAATTTGTTAGGTTAGACAAGTTTAATTTAATGTGTGTTTCGTAAACGGCAAAAATATAATTTTTCTTACGGTGTAAATGCAGTAACTATTATAATCAAACAATCTCATCATACAGTTGCATTGTAGTTTTTTTAGCTTTGGCAATGCCAATTTTAAGTTACTTGCACAAAGGAAAACAAACATTCTTAATTCAATATGTTAAACCAAAGACTAACCAACACAAGGGAGTATGTTTTATCATTGACTATTAGATACAGAAGTTGTTGTATTAATAGTTAAAGGTTTTATCTATGGTTAAACTGACTTTAATTTGCATTAAAAGGTGTTTTGGTTGGATTATATAGTGCGTAATAGACGAAACTATAAAAAGAATGTAAAACTAAAACATGATTGTGGTAGGGTGTACTTCTGGAAACACCGCAACAAATTCCACTCGTTTTTTATAAATTGTATTGTGTAAACCTAAATAAATTGTATTATAAATTTGTAACACATTTGCATGGGGACAATGTATAGTAGTTTATAACGAATCTTGACATTTTATAGTACAAAGTCTACCGATTCTTAAAAATTGACAAAATCTAGTAAATTTTAATAAATAATACTAATAATAAAAATGCGTGTTCTGTTTTAACTTTCGGTTGTTCTAAAAATTATAAAAATATATTATTACTTGTTGAATTATGAGCAAACATAATTCTGAAACGTTATGGAGTCATGGAAACGTGTTTTCTTTGGTATCCATGTTTTTATTTGTTTGATATTTTACACTTCTACATAAATAATTTATTTAATAGTTTTGTTTGATTTTAATTGTTATCTCTACTGGAACAGTATTTAGTTGAATATTTTAAATGCATATGACTGGGCTAAGCTGTGTTTTGTTAACTATTACTTCTTTTAAAAATAAATAGGTACTATTTAAAGACGTAACTAGATACAATATAAAGATGTAAAGTTATTCCACATTTATGATCAATACTATTTTCATCAGCACTGAAAAGGGCAATTTTGGACTGTTATGCGAGGGTTAATTATGTTATTCAGTACTTTCTATGTATATAGGTCTATGTGAAATACAAAAATATTATTTTTCAATTTTTTCGTAAAGGAATTCACTTAATTCGATTTAGTATTTTGGCAGGCCTACAATGTTTTATCATGCTAATCGGTTATGAAATGTGTGTAAAAGCCGATGGAATGGAACTAAACTTTTAAGAACAAATTATATTACACGAAAATAAAATACATCATAATAATAAATAGTCTCGTAGAAACTACAGTAGTTTTCCCATAATATCTTTCCTTAATAAATCGAAACTAACAATAGAGACTGTATAAAAAGACTGCCAAGTTAGTCGTAATTTTTAATATAATTTATTAATTATCTTTCACAAAATGTACTTACACTAAACTTAAGCCTAATATAGGCTAAATAAAAAATGTGTTTTAAAGCTATAAATCAAATTTACACTCTTTGTCATGGGTCTTTTCATTGAAGTGTTAAAACGGATTCGCAGTTAATAACTTATATAGTATTTATAAGAGTCATTGAGAAAACAACAAAACAAATCACTTCTAAAACATGTATTCCTACTTACATAAAAAAATTTAACAATATACAACTTAACATTTATATGGGAGTTTCTAGAACATTTTTGAACAATACTACCACAAAACGAAATGGGTTAAATCGAGACTTTATGACATGAATATTTATAAAACTAATAAAAGAAAATTCTCTTTGATACTTACAAAGTAAAATAACATTTGCAAACGTTTTGTTAAGTTGTTCAACTAATCAATATTGGGGTGGAAGAATTTAGTCGAATAAACATGTTAGACCCTTACGCTATTAGTATACTTTTGTGACCCATACACAAGATATAAATTCTATCCACAATAGACTGATAATTAAATTACATATGTATAATAAATTACAATACTTACAAACCCGACCTATTGTCATACGGCGCGTAACGTGGGGCTGAATCTGAAGACGTGCTGTGGTGGATGGAAGTACGGGGGAGGAGGCAGCAGAACCAGCTGGGGATGGTGCATCGGAGGAGGGTAGCAGGCTGTCTGGGGAGCGGCCATCACGGGAGGTGGCGGACTTTTGGGCTTATCCGGAGAAATAAGACTCTCTATGGTGAACAGCCTCTTGGGTCTCGGCGCTGGCTCGGAGACCACGGTGTTGACCGGGGGCAGTGACGTGAGGGAGGTCACTGGAGGCAGAGGGTCCATGGTCACAGCCGGGGGGGGTGGCGGCGGCAGAGGCTGCGGAGGTGGCGCGGGCTGAGGTGCGAACAAGAACCTGTTCATGTTAGCCAAAGCGGCGAGTTCATTTTCTAACCTATCTTTGTCAGATTTCATCAACTTGAACCTCTTCCTCCTCCTGAGTAGGGATCCGTTCTCGAACATGTCCAGAGCAGCGGGATGCAGCGCCCAGTAGGCACCCTTGCCCGGACGGTCGGGTCGCCGCGGGATCTTGACGAAGCAGTCGTTGAAGCTGAGGTTGTGTCTGAGCGAGTTCTGCCACCGCTGCGTGTTGTGGCGATAGTACGGGAAGCGCTCGCTGATGAAGCGGTAGATGTCCGACAGCGGCAACATCTTCTCCGGAGAGCTCCAGATGGCCATCGCGGTCAGAGAGATGTAGGAGAACGGAGGCTTCTGGTCCCCGTAGGATTCTCGGCACGGTCGAGGCATGGCGAACTACTCGGGTACACTTCAAACTGTCTACAAGTGTCAGATGTCACAGAACAGAGTGTGAGCCGTGGAAACTTACCATTCCGGCATCGGTCACTTGGAGCACAAAACACACAACACGAGAACAAACAGATGGTGCTGAGATGGGCTCGCGCTCAGAACTGGCTCAGGTGTGATCGCCGACACCTCGGCTGCCCCTCCACTATTGGAGAGTGACGCCGCGCCAATCGCAACGCTGGGCGGAGCGATAGGCGGGGCTTCCAACAGCGCAATCCTCCTCTCCCATTGGTCGTTCTCCTTTATACTCTTGTTATTCCATTAAACGAGCGGTTTTTGTTTACATTCCGCGCGCTAAGATCGATGCTCCGCGGGCGGTGCCCGATAAGTTAGGCACAATTGGAGAGATCTTTGATGAATCGACACCGCCGTCGACAAAGGATAATGAAACCGCTCCAGGTCCGTCCTGCACGATAAATAAATCAAATCGATAAATGTTCGGAGGAATTAACTCGGGAATATGCATGGCGAGACGCAATTAGCGTAGGGCCGCGGGCAGACGCGGTCGCCATTAAACGACTGACTTATTGATTCAATCAGAGCGGTGATGTTGTGAGACAACCGAGGATGGGCTCGTCAGTCGATATCTACGGTGATCTGTAGCGACTAGCGACTAGCGGCTAGCGGCCAACTGCTTTAATGTAGCCGCAACCCCCAGGGCCCACTGATTATCGATACATATTTATACCGAGTTTCTCCCGGTTAAGCTTACAAGTCGCTCAGATTGGCTCGTTGTATCTTGAATACACAGAATATTCATGGCGTTATTGATTTGATGTCATCCTAGTAGAGAAAATGCATCATACTACAATATCACAACACTAACGGTGTGATTACGTCTATCCTACCGAGTTTAAGAACGCTGCGAAATTTTCTTCTACAAATGTCTGCGGTTTTCAGGAGCTTGCAGAGGTATTGAAATCCGAGTTAGTAAGCATGATCATCGAACGAGAGCCTTGGATATGTTCCGTTGCCGTTTAAGTCACACTCGATCACACCTTGAAGAGATGCCTTCGCACGGCAAAATCTTCAACAATCTGCCTTACATTCCTAGCAATATTAGAAACCTCGAATATGCAGCGAGCAAGACTTTCGATTCTGTCTCACATGAAATTCTCCTTGCCAAATTAAACAAATATAGGGTACGTGGTGCAGTTTCCCCTCGTGTCATATTTGGAGAATCGGCAGCAGGTCGTTTCAATAGGCGGTGCTAAGTCCCAAAATCTCAATGTTCCTCTCGGGATGCCACAGGGATCATTTGTGGGCCCTGTCTTCTTTCTGATAGCCATAAAGGACCTAGAACTGGATGGCAATGCACTCAGGTTAGCTGATGACACTACCCTAATTTATGTTAGTGACAATCCAGGAAATGCTTCAGAAAAAAGCTAAAGTGATGTTTAGGGCAGCAAAAGAATGGTTTGAGACGAACAAATTAAAACTCAACCAAGACAAGACACAAAACATCTTGTGTTCACTCTATCCTAACTTGTCCCAGGACGTCGTTGGTTAACTAGGTTTACGATCGACCCAAAGCTGAGTTGGAGACCCAATGTGTAAAGAGCTATCAAGAGTAACACATCTTCTCAGGAAGTTAACAATACTAGTTGATAAAACTTATCTAGTTGTGATCTATCATGATTTAGTCCACAGCCTCATTACTTACGGTCTCCAGCTAAGGGGTCATGCAGCCAATGTCATCAGAATCCTTAATGCTGCAAAGGAAATCCCTCATAGTCATAACTTGTAGCGGGCGAGCGGAGCACTGCAAGCCTATATTTGTTGACTTGGGCATCCTTACCAAGCATAGCAACTACCACTTTTACCACTAGACAAAATGTCCATCCGCATAACACCAGGCGCAAAAATTACATTGATGTGCCCTATTGTAGGCTCAGCAAGACAAGAGACGCGTTGCCAGTCATGCCCCTCAAACTGTTCAATAAGTTGCCGCATGCAGTGAAGGATTCTAACCACAAAAAATTTCAAGCCAGTTTGAAATGTTGGTTAAATGCTAGGTTTTACACACTCATGGAGTTCTTTGAGGACGACCTCACAAGCTTTTTAAATCCACGATCCATTAAATTTTTTTAAAGTCTAAAAGTATGGTATAAAAATCCTAAAGTTAACGGAAATCTGTATATATAGTAAATATACGTGACGCAGCCTATCCAGCTTATTCTGGTATGTGCCAATGAGTAGGTAATTTTTTTTGTCCTAAGACGCTAGGCACGAGCCTGGGATTGTTTTACACATTACTTCAGGCTAGACCTAGGGGTTGCGGCATTATCACTTAGATAAAATCCATTGGTGCCTTGGCGGGGATCGAACCCGGGACCTCAGGGACTGAAGTCCCGCGCTCTAACCACTACGCCAGCTCGCTCCCCAATGAGTAGGTAATGAGTTAATGAGTTTCTGAACTGTGATGAAGAACTTGTTCACAAATAGGCCCTTGTACAATCTGGAAGAGTTGTCCTCCGCTAAAAGTCAGGGTGGAAAGAACTACGGCCTCGTGTACCACAAGCACAAATTGACGATTTTAATGTTATATAAATATATAGTGTACATTTTAAAAATATAAGTTTTGTTTTATTGACGCAACCAATCCAATTTTCATTGGTCAAAGATTTAAAAAACAAGTAAGTGTAACGGGTAGTCACTGAAATTATTTTCTAAACTTTGGGATTATATTTTAAGAGTAAACAACCTGGTAAATGGATTTCACAATTCATATAGGCCTACCATTGGAATTAGTAGACAGCGTTATTATTTTGTTGACTACCCGTCACATGAGTAAGAAAACTCACGACAGAATGAAAGGAAAACTTAAGTTTATCAGCTATGAGTTGGTCTTGGTTACATTGAAGCTATTTATTCGAAAGTTCGACAAGGGATAAGGAATAGAACTAGTATTAAGTGTCAAGTAATTTATTTCCCCTGCTAAAAATTCTTACGAAATTAAACCAAAATGAAAAAGTCTTTATCAGGGAAAGTTAGATTCACATGGCATTTTCCTACACATCATACTGAATCATTGATTAAGACGTTACTGTATTTAAAAATATTGTAAGCTGGCCAACAATTTCATTTGAATTTTGTGTACGCGAACATGTAAATTTACTTCAAGAAATTTCTACGACTACACATTTACTATCAACTCCGTTACGAAGCACGGGTATAGCAGAGGTAAATAAAGTGAAGCCAAATCAAATATTGATTTGATTGTAACAATAGGCTATGTAGGATGCTTTTAACAACCCTTCAGATAACATTGAATGGGACGTAGCGTATGTTATCTTATCCGTTTAAATTCCCGTTATCTCCATTCATTTGCGTCATCGTCCTTGGGTATTTAAATTTTATCTTTACTGTGGAATTTCATTAATTTGCATGTTCCAAAAAAAAACTAAACTTCTCAACTAAAGTGTTATTTGGATTGTAATTTCACCGGTGTATATAACTAAATAGTTGTTTTTATATAAATTAGTTTTAAAATTTCACATTAAACTACTGATCATCTATAATATTAAAACGAAACAGTGTTTTTTTTATTTCACGATTCTGAATCAACCACTCGACGGATTTTCATGATTTGTGTGTTAAAAGAAAGATAATTTTAAGAACTAGGGAATGTCGAAGCCATAATTTTAGTTTAGGGCCCCAGTTTTTTAGAAATTAAGTTTTAATTTTTAAAAAGTCTAGCAGCCGACGCTAAGATTCTAAACTAGCTTTCGGCATAAAATAATTTGCTTCATAACAGCTGTAAATATTCAGCTTTTGTGTCACAAATTCAGCATTTGGATAAAAATGTAAAGACTTACTTAGGGTTGACTTATTTATACTATGTGTAATGCTAATCATTGATACGTTCAATTCTTCTGTAAGAGGATGCCAGATTGATTAAATATACATAGTAAAATACTAGGTTTTTCAAATTATTTTTTAAAGCAATCTTTGTAATCATCGATTTGTTTTAGAGCAATATAATTTGTTTTAACTAACAGCTGGTTAAATATAAACTATGGAACTATGAGGTTATTTTATTTACTCTTATTTTGTCATTGATTATAGGAAATAAGTAAGATTAGTAGAGATAATTAGACCACAGTTTAAAATAGTTTAGACCAAAATTAATTAAACCACAGTACGAATCGAGGCTCTGTACACGAGTCTTAATAAAAAAGGATAAATGCAAATTATTTTACTGCTCCACTTTTCAAGGAAAGTTTAGAAAAATAACAATGTTTACATGTTTTAATTCTTTGTGGTAGCTTTTTGTTTACAATTAATGTTTGTCTGCTTTAACTTTGTTTGGATTAGGCCCGGAAATATTAATGTCATAAAAAGAAGATCAAGAATAATCAAGAATCACGATTTTAAATTACCACCACAACCTCAGCCGAGTTTTATACAAAGATTGAACACAACGTCAACATTGACCTAGGATACTGCAATTAGACAAACCATCCTTTTATGAAATCGTGTTCAGTGTGGTTACGTTTGGGGGTGCCTATCAGCGCCCCCAAACGTGAAAATATTACTTTTATTTTAACTATGAATATATTGTAGTTTAAATTAACTATTATGGGAAATTACGATGTACATTTTTATTCAATGAGGGTGGGTAATTATCAAGGATAGAACTGATAACCGTATGGATAATAAACATTGACAATTACGTCATTAGCTTTACTAGCGTGTTTACTTTTTATATTCCTGCTACATGTGACCAGTTCTTTTTTCAAATGAATGTTATTTGAACCAAACAGCTGTTTCAAAACAAACTGTTATTGATTTTACTTTTCTTTGTTTAGACTTATTTATTTAGCAATTATTGCAGTGAAATTGATATAGATGTGACGATTAGTTTTGATGTTAGGACACCAACGTTAAATTATGTGTACTGTGAATTTTATTGGATACTATCGTTTTATTTTAGGTGATATTTTTTTTCCTATGATGGAATAAAAACATATTTGGCTACACAACATTTGTTTACAAGATGATTTTTACATTAAAACTGCAAGAAACTTTGTCTTTATATGTGTAAACTAGCTGATCTGAATTGTACACGGTTTTAACTGACTACTGAATTCCCGTACGTAGGACGGGCTAACACCTCGTTTCTTAATATTACGCAAACAAAATCATATTTACGTTATACATATTTTACATTTGCATATTTTAGAATAGTTATTTTACTGATCTCGTTGGAATTTCATAGAAAGCTGCAATTTGGTTTAATGTTTGCTTTAAACTATGTAAAACATCTAAAGTTTTAGTCCATTTAAAAAAATTTTAAATTTCAATTAAATTCAAATATTATTTTATTCATAGTATAA